TATTATCTATCTATCTATCTATCTATCTATCTATCTATCTATCTATCTATCTATCTATCTATCTATCTATCTATCTATCTATCTATCTATCTATCCATCCGCCCACGCTTGGGTGCTCTTGTGGTCACCCCCTTAACTTGGCGAACCAAAAATAGTATGGGAGAGTGAGATGATTTGGCGAATACGACGCTCTGGTCAACACATGAATAACGCACATCCCGTGGTGTACGTCGTCAAACAATTCCCGTCAGACAGTGGCACCATACCCACGGGCGGGTATGGGCCACAGGTGATTGACACTAAGTATCTACCCAGGAACGACGAGAACACACATGGCAATTTTAAGAGTGTTAAGACATACCGACATCGGTAGCGTCGACCCGACGAATGCAAATAATAAATTTCAGGGTTTCAGCAAGAATCAAACCCGATAATTCTGCGTGGCAGTCAAGCATTCTACTGCAGAGCTACGCGAGGTCTCGGAACTACTTTTCAAATATACGCTAATCTTCGTGAAACGTCAGTAGTAGTTGCAGTGTTGCCTACACAATTTTATAAACATTACATATGTATTCCTTTGATAGAGGCGTCATGTCAGGTTAACGTCGATTGTGGTTAGTTGCCATGCGCTGAAGTTGATTTATGTAGCAGTGTCCAGGGCCAGCATCCGCGCGAGCATCAGTGCTTCATATCAGCTTCTTGTGTTGTTGTAATACGTATGTTCTAGTTGGCATTGTTGCAGAAGTGCAATTAATTCGTTATATAAACATCTGCACTCTTCAACATATATGCCTGTGCGTGCAACATTTGTACAAATATTTAGCGTCCTTTATTGACGTGTCGCTCTATAAAAAAAATGCAACATGGTCACTTTCCCTCCACATATGCTTCGCATAACGTCAATTACCAGGCACGTGGGATCTGCCGATTTTTTTTACATGCACTATTTCTTAAAGTTTTTACCCTCGGATGTAAGGGTGTGTTTCACCGAACATGACTTATCCTTGTGCCTTTTTGAAAGCATTTGAGAAATTTTAGGCTGTCGGAAATAACTAACCTCGTCGCTGAGTATCTCAGCTGGTGTTTTTAACATCTCAAAACTACCCCTAGCTGAGTCGCATGACAACCCGTATATAGGGGAACGCTCTGGAGTAATTTGGCCACCTATAACACGCACCGAAAAGTGGAGCACTTCTGCATTGACATTCACAGCAACAGTCATCGAAGTCATGACCTCGTGCTCATTATGCAAAATACCGAAGGCATAGTTCAAGGGCAACCTCTTTACAGTAAATGTTACTTAGTGCATACATGACGTAGAACAAACAAACAAAAAAGCGTTCCACACTCGCCGTCTTGGTTACAGGCGGCGCTGACTAACGCTCTCACGTTTAATTTACATATATACCCAATAAAGTGGATGGTGCATATCCACCGTGGTAGCTCAGTTGATAGAGCATCGGACGCTTTATTCGAAGGTCGCAGGTTTGGTACTTGCTCAAAGCAAGGTATATCTTCATCCACTTTTCTTTCTTCGCGTTTACACTACAATTACTTCATATGACATCCCCTATACTTTCTTTACATGAATGTCTGTTAGATCTCATTAATATTGTGTGTATATATAAAAACGAGCCTTATGTGTACTCTTTTTTTTAAGTGCATACAAGACCTTTTCTTAACACATATTGCACGACAACAATGTGCAGCCAGGCGCGAAAAGGCGCAATTTTCGCGCGGATGGCCACCAGAGTGACGATGCGGTTCATCAGACGTTAACGAACATGTATAAATAAATTGTGCAGGTATTCACAGAAACTCTTCCTTTATTTTAAATAACCTAGATCGGTTAGAGAGGGTTAGAGGAGCAGACATTGACCGATCGTGAAAGCAAACAACATTAGCGAAGGTAGCCATTCAATAAGAAAACGTCTCGGTAAAACAAATGTTAACGAATTTTGCTATACAGGACCAAAGAAGTTTATTGGTTTTCAAAAATGGGCATCCTGTTACCATGAGAGCACAAATATCGTTTAGAAAAGCTAAGGTCCGGGAAATTTCGGCTTCGTGGCAGAATTGATTAAGCTTTTTGTACGTTAGGGCCTGTTTTGCCAGCCATTTTTGTTGATTCGTTTGATGCGTCACGACTGCCTGGCACCTGCTCTAACCAATAGTTCTATGGCGTAAAATGTTTCTGTGAGCTTATACGTGCTCGGCTCGTCCGGGAGATGGTTGCATCTAGTTTTGGCCTGGTAGCGCTCTGGCAGAATTAAATTTAACATCTGACGCCAGTGGCACGCTACGCATGCCACATCACAGTCCGGAACACCTCCGGACATGGAACGCCTCCTTTTGCGAGGGGCATATATTTATGTCAAGTAAACCAACGCTCGCCAAACTTGCAACGAAAAAAAAAATTGGAGGACCCATAAAGGGGCCCTGAAACACTTTTTCAAATAACCACGGAATGCATTCACTGAAAGAGCTTATTGCCTCACAAATTTAACCGCCGCAAAAATTTTAAGAATCCGTTCAGTGTGAGTGGAGTTGTAAAAGGTTTGTCGCATGCTACAATTACATTCTCTCTTCTCTTGTCCCGACGAAAGCACTGGAAGCTAACCAGGGAGGGATGGCAGGGCCCTAGAAACACGTCGCGCGAGCGTTGCGACCTTGAGAACGATTTTTTCTTTTTTTTTCTTCGGATGCGCCGCTTCTTCAGTGTGATCGCCCACACACGCGTGGACAAGTGACGGCTTCCCGTGGCGAACTCTGTAACGAGCGAACGCGCCATGTTCAAATCAGCCAATGGCTGATAGATGGGCTTACTACGAGTGATTTTTGGGCTTATTGCGTGGTTTCTCGAGAAAGAAAAGCAATTTTAAGCTGACTTTGATAATTTATTGTAAATTCCAGGCTGCGTGCTGAGCTATAATATTTGGCTCGCGTGTTCTCGGGAGCCTCTACTACCGATCGGCAGCGTTTTCTGACCATGCTCGAAAAGTGTTGTGGAGTCCCTTTAAGCTTCGCCTTTAAGAATTGAACGCGATAGCGAAATCCGGCCCGTACAGCACCCTTCAGCCACCAAGTGCATACTTATTCACACACGCACACACACACACACACACACACGCACACACGCACACACGCGCGCACACACACACACGCACACACACACACACACACACACGCACACACACACACACGCACACACGCACACACACACACACGCACACGCACACACACACACGCACACACACACGAACGCGCGTGCACGCGCAAGCGCGACGTATCTATCGTAATGCAGTGAGTGACTGTGCGGTGTGGCCACTTCCCTCTGCTAGAACGGCGCTACGCTGTAGCTGAGACACATTGTCGCAATGTCGCATAGATGGCACACACACACACACACACACACACACACACACACACACACACACACACACACAAACACACGCGTGCGCACGAATGGTACATACAGATTTTTGATCTAGAGCAGGAGTCGCATGGCCTCCAAGATGTACGCCGCGCTCTCGCCATCTCGGAGGCGATAGTCTCACAATGCTTCACAGATAGCAGCACATTATCTAGCGTTTGCTGTTTGCTTGATCAATGCCTCTGGAAAAGCATGATATGTTTTCCGCTAAATGGACATAGTTGTCCATTTTTAGGGCTGTTTGAAAGTTTGTGTGCTTTTAGCGGCCATGACTGCACTATCCCGGCCTTTTTCGAGGTAGTTTGAAGCCTCCCAAATGCGCCTACAAATCACTGAATGGACTTGTTTTCGTCGTAACGCCTGTCCGTCCATCCGTTCGTCCGCCGTTCGTCCGTCCGTCTGTCTGTCTGTCTGTCTGTCTGTCTGTCTGTCTGTCTGTCTGTCTGTCTGTCTGTGTCTGAAATCCCGTCGCGTACGTCGTGAAACCCTTTCCTCGTGACACGACTGGCACATACATGGACACCATGCGCCGTGGTATGCGGGTACGCGCCCCATGTGTTGGACAGTTTACATCTACCCATGAACGGCGAGAAGAGGCATTCGTAATTAAAATGCGAGACCGTTAAGAAAAACGGACATCGGCAGAGTTGACCCAACGAATGCAAATAATAAATGTTATGGTCTTAGCAGCAAAGGAACTCGGGTATTCTGCGTGGCAATTAGGTATTCTGCCACAGCCACACCAGTTCTCGAAACAGTTTCGGCAAAAGCCATATACAGGCGTGACACTGGTGAGACGTCACTTGTAGTTCCAATGCTGGATAAATCTAATCTTATAAACATTACATATGTACTCGTATGATAGAGGCGTCATGTCAAGTTAATGTAAAATGTATACTTAGGCGCCATCCACTGAAGTTGGCCTAGATAACGCTGTCCAGGGCTACCATCCCCGCAAGCAAAACTCCTACATATAAGTTTACCGCTTCTGGTGCTGGAATTACCATTGTTGCTTTGGGAATGTTAAGCAGTTGTAAACAACTATATGTATGAAACATATGTATATATTAACTTAAGTTTGTACGATATACACTATTTGTACATATTTTAGCCCCATTTTGTAACGTTTTGCTTAATGAAAAATTACACAATGGTCGCGTTGTTTGCGCACGCTTCGCAAAACATTGTTTTCCATGGGGCCTGCCCAATTTTTCTTTTCTTCTCTTTTTTGTCTTTTTTGTGCAAAGGGGGCACTGTTGTTGTTCGGAAATAAACAGAGAACACGAAAGCAAAAAAACGTTTGACTGATTAGAGTCATGACGTCAGTGCCAGCCTCGTAGCTTATAGCAAGTACCGTGATAAGCTCCATTTTTGGCCACGGCAATCGAATTTCGAATGAGCTGTAATGCAAGAACCCACGTGTACTTAGACTTCGGTGCAGGTTAAAGAACCACAGGCGGCCCAAATCAATCCAAAGCTCCCCACTACGGCGTGGCTCATATCGTGGTTTTGGCTCATAAAACCCCAGCAATTATTTTTACGTGACAGCGTGTGTGAAGCGCTCCGTGGCCCATTGACGATCCTCGAAAAGGAATATCATTGAAATTGGAGTCCTGGCCCAGGTAACCTACCCTTTTTATACTTTCATCGATCTCATGATACTGGGTTTGCACTGTGAATTGTTTTCATCGCTTCGGCATGGCTGCCTAATTCCCTTGTTCGCATACGTGCAGTGTGCTATTGCTACGTTTTCGTTGTCGCTGAATCATGGGGAACTTCCTGTTCGTGTGACCCGTATTTTCGGAGTACACGGAGTCCAGCCGCTTCTGTAAAAGCCTTTCTTGTGTTTGGAAGCTGTCAAAGCATTCTGCTTGAAAGCTTCAGAGGTGTTGCTTAACTTACCGTTTCGCAGGTGAAGTACTGGCGCTGTTCGTAGTAGGTCAAATCCGCCGAGTTGTTTCCGTGGGCCCGACGGTAATGGACGCCCGATCCTTGCCCAGTGCAGCGGCACGTCGCCTCTGCGTGTGTTTGCTCGCCGTTTTGACCCTGGGCGACGCGTGCTATCTTTCCGATGGTTTTCGTTACCAGAGACACCTGGCTGGCGTTACAATGGGGGAGCTTGCCAGCCGGAGCACATCTGTAAGAGAAAGGGAGAGAGTGAGACAAGCTTGTTAAAAGTCGAAAGAGGTGAGAGAACATTCTGTCTTGACTTGTGCCCGTTTGCTACAGCAACGCGCTGAACGGGCACAATCTGGGCGTATGGATAAGCAATGGAACTTAGTACCTAAGGGAACACGAAAGATACGCGACGACTAAAGATAACAGGAATGCAGCAGTGATGAAAACTAGGGAACTGTGGAATTACAATAGGTATCATGTTGTGAAAGCTAAGAATATGGAAAGGGGCCATGGTTCCTAGTCTGACGTCGGCAATGCGGTCTTGTGCATGAAATCAGAAGTTCAAGCAATATTGGAAATTAAACAACGTGGCATAGGTAGGCTTGCTCTGGGAGCACACGGGAATACCCCAAATCAGGGGATACAGGGAGACAAGGGATGACATCGTTTGAGTGCAGGTAAGCTAACAGCAAGATAGAATTTGTGGGGCGATTGCGAAAAAATGGGAGAGGAGCGTTGGGCTAGGAAGGTTCTCAGCTACTTGTACATAAAGAATGTCGATACAAATGAAGGAAGCGAACCAGAAAATTGACTGGTAAATACTCAGAAAACAGCAGGGGGCCAAACCAAAAATATTATTGGTTAAGAAGGTGAAGGAAGCTGAGACCGATATGAGGAGAATCGGCATGATTAAGAAGTCCGCTATAGAGAACTTTTAAGCAGGAAATTGCCAAGGAAAGGATCTATGATAATACTCGGGGTAGTTCTCTACTGTTGAGGCGAGGACGGGAGTATTGCCAACCAAGACATGTCGGGCCAAATACGAAAAGGTAGACACGGTATGCAGTGCGCGTGGAGAGGAGGAGGAAACTGCCGAACACTTGATAATGTTCTGTAAAGGGCTTCACCCTATAGTTCAGGATGATGGTGCAAAGTTTTTCAAAGCACTGGGGTTTAGGGACAGGGTGGGCAAAATACACTTTGAGTGGGTAGAATTAACTAAAAGGAGGTTATCTGATTGGTGGCTAAAGTCAAGGCACAAGTGAAAATTAAACCCTTCACTGCAAAATACCAGTCCTCAACCTCACTATTTAAAGGGGGGAAAAGAAATCTAGTTTTTGGTTCACTAAGTATTACGGCTTGGTGGCGGTTAGCCACCGCCCGACCCAAGGGCGGTGGCTAACGATGGATATCAACGATGGATATCAATCCATCCATCGCTGAAAAAAGTAGAACGAAAGCCGCTGAACAACGTAAGCGTGAGCCCGAAATGTTTGCAGTGATCACAACACCTAGAACACTGAGTGTGTCATGATGGCTAAAGAAACATGGTATTTTTGCATTCGTTAGGACGTAAGAACTTCGTTGTTTATGAGCGATCTGAAAACAAAGAATTGAAGAAAAAGAATGAGAGCCTGAGTCTGATTGATTACGTGTATCAAGTGATATATATATATATATATATATATATATATATAAGGGAACGAAGTGTATACCTAAGGGCTCGTTTGTCCGTGTTTTGACACAATATTAATGAGATCTAACAGACAGTAATGCCAATGAATGTACAGGGGAAGTTATTAGAACCAATGGAACGTAAAATAAGAAGAAAGAAAAGTGGATGAACAAATATGAATAAAAATAACCAGCCGTGAGCAGGAATCGAACCTACGACCTTCGAATAACGCGTTCTATTCTCTATATATATATACAAACATACATTGGGAGTAATAATTCAATGGGCGGCCAGTTAGTCTTCGTGAAGGCATGCGATATGGCACAACGGCAGCGTTGCCACAAAGGTAAATATATTTATTTCCCAACAGTTTTGGGAGGGGTCCTCCCTTCGTCAGGGGATGAGCATTGAAGGACTGTGGTTATACTAACATAGACGTTCAAACTTCGTTGCTGCCGCGTCCCTCTCTTCTTTAAAGATGTTTGCGAGAGTGAGACGACGACGACGACAACAACAACAACAACAACAACAACAACAACAACAACAACAACAACAACAACAACAACAACAACAACAATGTCACGGACGGCTATTTTCGGCGACACCGCGTCACGGCAATTAACGGGCGCCGTACTCCCCGACTGACCGTGAGAAACGGGCCGGCACATGAAAGGGAACCGATAAGTGCAAAATGGGGTGCTCTCCTTAGAACGTCGCCGCCGACAGTTAATCCTTTTGTAACTGTGGCGACGTCTGCAAGGTCGTAGAAGGCCGCGGTATACCCCGAAAAAGGATTAGACTACGAGACACGCGGGCGGAGAGCCAAACGTTGACCGTTCCCACGGAGAAAAGCGTGGGAAACGCTCTGGTGGCCAAGCCGTATGACAACAACCAGACAGGTTGTCACTCTCGCTAGTTGCGGGCCCTCTCCCTATTAAAAAGGGGTGGGGTCAAAAATATTTTTGGGGCGGAGTTTCCCCTCAATTAAACGCGCATGATTGGAACCAGGTAGAGGTCTCTTGTCCCCAAGGAAGAGAGCGAGGAGACACGAGGGGGATTTAAGCGCAGGATTTTGCCCCTCTAGGCAGACTAGTCGCTGACCAAGATGGTGTAGAAACAGATCAACAAGCATCTCTTCTAGAAGTTTTAGTGTGGCTCTGTATCGGCTGGCCACCTAAACTTAGCCGTTCGTCTAGTTGTGACGCGATATTAACGTCTGCAACGTAGACATCGGGACTTCGCCCTCGAGTTAGCTCAACCTGCTCGAAGTCACCTGCAAGCACTAGCCTCCACGGAGCCACCAGCGTTGCAACACCGCCGACATCGCAGTCGTGCCAGAACTCTCTTCGACTTCTCGCATACGATCGTCGGGGACACAACGCTGCCGGTCATCCCACGTATGCCTTCACCTGTTATATCTTCGAACTTTCTCCTGCGTATTCTATTCTTGTTAGTTTGTGTAGTTTGTAATAGTTCTCTCGCGTAAGCTGATTTAATGTTTTTATATGTGTTTTTTAGTTGTATCAAGTGTGATGTATTTTGTTAGTTTGTATAGAAGTGTTGTATTTGATCCCGTGTTGCTGCAATATCACTAGAGTAAAGTTTGTTTTGTTTTCCCTACGTTCTCTGATCTCTTCACTGTCTCTGCTTGCGTACGGAACGAACCAACCTGCTGTCATTCCCGTCGCCGACTTCGCGCTGGCGACCGCTAGAGTGGCAGCTTGTAACAAACAACAACAACAACAACACAACAACACAACAACAACAACAACAACAACAACAAACACTGTGAGCGCTGAGCACGAAACAGCCTGTGCAGATCCAAATGTCGGTTTAAGTCCACATTCCGGTTCTCATCGTGTGCTGGCCAGTTCTCGACGTGTGTCGGGCCACCCAAGATTGTCGCTGCGGTGGCGGGAGGGTTCCGCGACGGCGTGCGTTAAGGAAAGAGTGTCCCTTAATGGGTCGGGTCGGCTCTTTAGCTTTGATCTCGCCCGTTTCCCCTCAATGGCCATCAAGTGGAAGGCGAGCGTAAACACTTTGTATTTTGTATGTACACGCGAGAAAAAAATGTATGAAAAAACAAAGAAAATGAAAAAAAGGAAAAAAAAGAAAGAAAAGGCAGTGTATATGTATACGTTGAAAAAAAGAAAGAAAGGACAGTGTACACGTACGAGTCAGTCAGAAAAAAACAAGCATGGTCTCCAGCTATGAATCTTTGTCACCAATTTCCTCCTGGCTTACTTCCCGGAGGCAGGAGAGTCTTCCGGGGTACTCGTCGATGCCGGCTACTAAAGTTCTAAATTTGAAAACAAAATATGCCTCACGCTGTGCGCGCTCGCGCCTCTTTGAGAAACCAGACTGTAAAATAGTTACGCTGATGTTTTCAAAACTGTGGTTTGGCAGGCGCAGATGTCTAGATAAAATAGCTTCGACAGTGAAGTGGCGTGGTACCGGTGATTATTGAACCGCAGCCGAAATGGGGTGTCTGTTTGACCGATATATTCACGTCCGCAGATGTTGCAATGTAGCATGTATATTACGTTACTAGAGTCACAATTAAGGCTTTCAGTTATGCAGAATTTGAGATCCGAGAAAGTTCGCTTTTGATTCACGTGTTGTGACCACCTGTGGGCATACCTTGCATCGATATTTTCCGCAGGGATGGCACCCTGATTGAATATTGAAGGGGTTGTTTTTGCTATGACAGAATGTCCTTCAGGTTTTTTATCCCTGCGGTACATTACGTGAGGTGGCTTCGCGAAATTGAAGTTAGTCGTTTGCTTTGCCTGATTATGTGTAAATGGCGGGGAAAGTATGTTGTTGATTGTGTCACTGATGAGGAGTAAGCTAGTACAAGTTCGTTTGGGAAGTCGTACTAACTACGGGGCACTGCATTTTTGTTCTACAGTGGATAACGGTGAACCGGAGAGGCGTACCTTGAGTTGAGTTCTTGCGGTGACGTTGAACGCCGATGCGTTTGTCGCTGTCTCGAAACCCTCGGGGCAGGGCTCCTTGCGCGGGCAGCGGCAGAGGCGGATCTCGAGTGGGCTCTGCCAGTAACGCCGATGGATCAGACTGCACGCAGAGCGCTCCGAGGAGCACACCGGCAGCTCGCGTTCCCAGGTGGCCTGTGTGCGTGCCGCCGTTCAACAATTGTGCGCCCATAGGAACGCCGATGACGCGGCTCAAGTACTTCAGATAACTGATATATTGTAAAGATGGCCGGGTTTGAATTTAGCGTGAGCTGGAAAGCTTTTTTTTTCGGTGAATACATTAACAAGGAGCTCAAGAGGACACGATTAATATATTTAGTCCCAAACTCTATTCGCCTGAAGGGAAAAGCGAGGCCACTGAAGTGGCGTTTGCATACTATTCTGTAGTCGACACGGAGTCATGAACGACCGCAGTCTACACTCTTGCGTATGAACGGCTCTTAAAAAATTCGACAGTTCAGTGGTTGCCGTTAATTAACAGTGCCGTTAACCTGCTCATACCTGTAGCGGACTACTGACACCGTGTAGCCCAGGCAGTCTTATAGCAAATGAGTGTTCCGTGTAATCTTCATATTTCATCGCTAGATATTCGGCTAAACATCACATGCCTTTCGTTTTATGCATTGTTGCAAGATCCCGCAGTGGCGGTCAGCATTCCGATGTAGACGTAATTTGTATAAAAACGTTCGATGTAAACTAATTGTATAAAAACACGTTCGTGTACCGAATTTCAATTTAATTAACCATTGATGCGCGAGCTTCGCCATAGATTCATAAGAATTACGAAATCTTTACTATTAAAAGCTGCTCGTGAGAGCATGTGACATTCAATCGCGACATTGGAGCTATACATTGGGCGTAATAAGCGGTCCGGCAAAAACCAAGAATCACATGAGGAAGGTCATCTCAACGAATTCGGCCACTCAGGTTGTGAAAAATTATTTTGCAAATATTCACTGCGAGCATCTCTCTTAGCGTCATGCATCAACTTATCATCAATCAATCAATCAATCAATCAAATAATTACATGCGAGACATTATAATCAAATGATTGGAGATAGTGTGGGTGCTCTATCACGGTTTTATAGCCGAAAAAAGAATACAGGGCCGCGTGCATAAATCCCCTAGAAACGTTTTCAGTCTACATCACATATAGACAATTTTCTTTACACTCAATTGTTTGTGATGCCATACCTGCATAGTGTACTCTTATAAAGTTGAAGGATATGACCTCTAAAAGTGATTTGCTTAATTAATCGATCAATTGAAAAGTCTAGTGCTGCTCGGTACCATCGACTGAGCCTGGTATACCCGTTACCGGCGGGGCTGCCAGGTCGTTGTTATCGTAAACAACGTATGCTGCCCGCTGTCTTCTCCCCTGTTGTGAACCCTTATTACGCAGTCGTCTCACGTCAATCACCTGAACGCTACGGTACACGTCAGACGTTGACCGATCGCTGAGTTGGCAGCGGCTGACTCAGCAGTCTGCGGACTGCACTGGCACAAACAAGTTGAGAAATGTTCGGCTAGGGCACGTGGGTTTGAGTTTTTTTGGGGGGCTCGTAAAGTCAGCGGATAAACACGCTGAACCCTTGTTTCCTCACTTACTGTCTGTGCCATGCGGCGTTATATTTCTGCTAAACGAAACATTTTGCATCCGGTTTCACTGTCTGCCGTATACTACGTGGAAACGGCCACCCAACTTCTGACCTGCTGGTCGCTGTATCAAATCCCGTACCGCAGCGGCAACATTTTCGATGATGACGAAATTCTTGAGGCCCGTGTAGGTACTTAGGTTCAGGTGCTCGTTGAAGAACCGCAGGTAGCAAAAAATTTCGGAGCCCTCCACTACGGCGTCTCTCATAAACATATCGTGGTTTTGGGACGTTAAACCTCATCAATATTATTTAGCAACCGGCCGCCCTTCACACTTTGGTACGAGCGCGAGCTTTTCTCGGTCACCCATGTACCTAAAAGAAAAAAAAAGGTATACTCTGCTGCCACTATCTTGGCAGGTATATTTATAAAGAACTACCTTCAAAGCTAGTAAAAGAGTAGTCCTGCTGGTTTATTTTTTTTTAAGACCGGCACCACAGTCGAGTGGCAAGGAGCCCCAAGAGCATTTCGGGTATTCGCCGATGTAGTGGAAACACTTTAGCGGGGCGCTAGTCGCTTTTTGATATCACTGTCCGAACTGGGCGCTGCACGCACTGTTCCCACAGTGTATGGCAGCTGGAGGGTGTAATGCTAAGTTCGGGCTTGTTACGAGACTGTTCTTGAACAAATAAATAAGAGACTTATTATCCGCGATGTACTACAATTTGCTCAGGGGCTGTTACCGTGCTCCTTGAGCCAATATCGTTTCAATACCTCGTTACAAGCTCGAGAGGGCGAACTTGGAGCAAGAAAAAAGAGCAACGACTCAACGTGGCGTTGTTACGGTTTCCGTGGGTAGAGTAGCATCGGCGATCGTTATTCTTTACAAATGAAACACCCGGCCAATGGTAAAGAGAAAGTACGTGTGTCACCGTCGTCCATGTCTGGTTTTCAACGCACACGACACTTAAAAAAAAAAAAGAAAGACCACTTCTGATAGAACAACATTTCAGCAAAATCAGAGTTCAGTTTAATAATGGACAGCGAGGCATTTTTTAATGGCGTGAAATGCTGGCAGAATGGTATAAGTATTATTTTATTCTTCACGTAGATCGCATGGAACTACGTCTCGTTATAACTGGGAGAGACCATTCTGCGGACAGGATATGATGAGAATATTGGAAGAAGAATCTTTAGATCAAACGAATTCTTTTGAAATATGACCTCCTGTAGAGGTGCACCTGGCGACGCGCCAAACATGGATAATGAAACGCGGTGACGTTGGAAATGACGCACATTCGCAAACAAACCACACCAAACAATCGCAAAAACACACAGCTGCAATCACTTCAGAGTAGATAAGATTCATTGATGCATTGAATTCCGTTATGACTATTTTGTTTTCGTGTTCTACTAGTCCAACAGCACCAGACTCCTGTGATCACGCTTGTTAGTACCGGTGAACATAAACACGGTTCGTAATTTTTTCAACGTGCATCATTGATCTGGTCGTGCTATTCATTAAAGACGAGCGATATCGAGAAGTGCTAGGAGTGAAGAGGACGTTCTCAGAAATGTTACTGCTATTATGATTTATCTGGTGCCCTATTTTTCGTGCCCAAAGAAGTAACACTACTAAAAAATGCACTGTCACCCATATTTATATGAAAAGATGTTCGGGACCAATAACTTCGAATGCTAGCAAGTGGGTATATTGAGAATGATATAAAAGTCCCGGCGTATCGCAATCGTGTATAGAAACGCTCGGCGAGAGCCATGCGTTAAGAGACCTAATTCACGGAAGCATTACAGCGTAACATTCATCCGACAAGGGTTCTATTGACTGTGAGAATCCCAGCCTGACGGCAACGCACGCCTACCGCATACGTGTAGCATCTTTAGGCAGGAACAAACACGTCACATAACGCGAGCGCATGCGCCTGTCCCCTGGGACAGGACCCTAAAGTCGCGTGTTGACTCAGCGTCGTTTAAACGACATTGCCCATAGTGTGTTTACGAAACTACGCGGGCCGTCGACTTCAATAAGTGCTCACGTGCGCCAGGTGTCACTGGCGGCATTCGCGTAAGGAAACACGGCGCGCAGGTGGCGAACACACGCGCGGAGTGTGGCTCCGCGCATTATGCACGAGAGAATCTCGCCTTGTCGCAACTCAGGCGGGGAAAGAGAGTCGAGCCGTGTTGCTGCATGCACGGCTGCTGCTGCTCACCCCGTTTCCGAACACGACGAGCGCTAAGGCAACGGCCAGCTGCCGCAGGAGGGAAAACGGCCAGCACAAGGCACCGTCGCGCGAGGCCCGCCTATGCTCGTCGCCGGCCCGCTCCTGAGGCCCCTCTCTCGCGCAGCTCGCTCGACTGATGCCTCCCCACCCCCACCGCGCGCGAGTCTCGAGCCAAGGGGCGCGACAATGAAAGGGCGGCCTAACAGCTCGTACCTGACTTCCCGAATATCCCGCTGACGGTTCGCTTACCGTTTTGATGAGTACAACTTTGGCGCTTTCTAAGTTTAAGGCGGGCCTTTTTTTTTTTTTTTTTTCAAAATAGACGCCCAGTTTGACTACGGAGAGCGCCCGTGACGGACCCGTCGGAGACACCCTGGCCTTCGCAGGACGCGGTAGGCTGAAGTGACCTGGATTACAGGCCACGGCACTGGGTAAAGGGAAGGCACGCTGTTCCTTTGTATGCAGTGCCGTGCTAAGCTGCCTGTATTCGATTTCAATAGGCTTAATTTCGAGGGTGGTTGTTACTTTAACGTATATTTCACCGAGAAAACAAAAACAAATGTAGGCCCTTTTATTCTTTTCCAATTGGGATGGGTGGATACATTCATCGAGCAAGCTTTTGCATGCCTCGGTAATCCAATAAAATATTTTTTAATTTCCCACTAATACAGTGTGATGGGGGAGTGGGGAAAAAAGTGACATGCTGCTTGACTAAGTTTCCACCCCCCCCCCCACCCCAATTACATAAGACAAAGGGAGTGGTGGCGACAGTATACATAGAATTGCACTAACTCACTTTCGTTGCACAAATTTGAAAGTACATGTAATGAAGAAATTTGAAATGGAGGCAGTACAGGTTGTGTACACTGACATAAAAAAAAAAATTGGGGGCCCTTAAGCTTCGCCTTTAGGAGTTGAACGCGTGATAGCGATGTCACGTTCCTGAATGCACATGTGCATACATTCGTTTGTTGCACGCATAAAATGCGGCTTTTGCGAGCAGAGGAAGTTATTTTGTCTGTGTTTTCAAGCAGAGATGTGCGCGAGTGGTAGAAGATTTGCGTACGAAGATTTGCGTACACGCATACGACCTGGCTTCTATCCTTACTCGGACTCAGCATTTTTTCATTCTTTGTGCGTTCTTTTAGTGGATACAACCAGTGTGAACTTGCTATGCACCCACTACGTGGCCTTAAGGGAATAGGCACAGTAGCGCGTGTCCCTTTTGTAGTGGGTGACTGGCTTAAAACCCTGAAGCCATAAAAATGATCACTTTTTGTGACGGCTGCTGGCAATGGGAGCTTGTACCACGCATAAATTTTGCAATATTTCATGCTGCATTGTTAAGCATGTATACAGGAACAAGTGTTTGTAAAGCAATAATACTTGCACTGCATTTCCAAGCAGATGAAGTTATTTTCACTGTATTCAAAAGCAGAGACGTGGCCATGTGGTAGAACATCCGCTTAGCACGCCAACGACTCTGGTTCGGTCCCCACTCTGACGAGGATTTTTTCATCATTTGCACCGTTCTCGATTTTTCAGTCACGTGTAAGATAATAATTTTTCGCTCACAACCAATGACGCTGACACCAACGCTGACGCTGGAATCTCTGCGAGACGAGCAATTTAACGCTATCGCATTAAAAGCATAGATGAGCTTGATTGCAAAAGCTTTGTGCAAATATGGTAAAAGGAAAGACTGAGAACAGAATAGGAAAGAGGCACAGAACATGACAACACATTGCACGATACACATAAGGGTGTAAAGGCTAATTATGTGCTCTAACGGTTAGAATCAATCGGAAATTCGCGGAGCTGTGCTAGTGTAATGTTTGCAATTTCAATTCCTGCAAAATATAGTTTTTATTTAATTATAACGGTAACTCTTTGCATACCATTTTGTTTTTAATAAGGAAGTACCCAAAGAGGCTGATTACAATGTCGGTACTGTGACTTGTAAGTTTGCATATAAGCTAACTCTGATAATGTAGACAAACGTATTTTTAACATGACATAGGAGCTAGGAAAAAAAACAAGAAATTTCCTTTAACAGAACGTTCCTTCTATAAAAGGAAACATTTCCTTCAAAAACAAGGAATAAGTTACTTTTAATTAGTGTCATCTTTAGGCTAATGAACAAGCGTGATCTTTTCAACACACAACCATTTTCTCGTGCTCCTCAAAAATTATTGGTTTGAAATGCGAGCGCGATACGTAGACAGGGACAGCTAAGACATGGCCAAGCACCTATGCGTGCCTTAGGTGTCCTCTCTATGTATCGCGCTCATATTTGAAAGCGTCATGAGTCACCAACTCGCCCAATAAACCATTTTGCGAAAAATTCGAATTAATAAAAGGAGAGATTAGGGGAGGCGAACAAATTTGTTTCTCTTTTTTTTCCTTTTTACTGTAATGAAGTTGTTCGGTGTCACGGAAGGAAATCATCAAAAATTGCGGGTGCAGGCGGACTCGTGGCGTATAGATGAAATGATAACGCTTCAAAGTAGCTTTCCAAACTCCCTTTCCTCATCGTTCTTCCCCTCCCCGGTGCCCTCGCTGCTATTCCCGGTACACCACAGGAAGCTGTTTGCGGTCAGCTATTAGCGTCCTGTTTGTATGACTTGCATTTCGTTGTTTGCGTGTGTGTGCGTGCACGCTAAGTAGCCATTAAATTGAGCATTAAAATTAAGGCTGTTGCAAAAGCTGTTGGCTGTTGGAATTCAATCAAATATGCAAAAGGAAATACAGTAAAACATCCAACGGAGATGGCCGCTGGCAGTGCATTTGACCAAGGAAGTGTTCCTTAAAATAGTAATGTGAACACAAGATGGCATTGAAACTTCCAGACACCACAAGCACAGAACTTCTACTACGGTTGGGCAAGCACAATGCGCTTGAAGAGCTAATAGAGGCACACCAAATCTCGCACTGGAGAGACTAATCAGGACACGAACGGGCAGGAGCCTTGTGGACAAACTCCGGAATATAGCCTATATAGCAGCACGGCGATAAGAAATCCCTCCTCAACCCGGTCAGAGAAAAGTTCCCTGTGACTAACATACCCGACAACATGCACCCCGAACTAAATCGGGCCGAAGAGAGAGCAGAGCCCGCGGTCTCTACTACAAGCCTTTCGTATTTCGTGTCCTTCTTGTCTCTGTGTCGTCGTTTTGTTCTCGCGCTAAACTATCGTCGTTCTTTCGAATATGAATGGCTCCGTACAGCTCCTGATCAAGTGCAATTTTGTCTCTCTCTCTATATGGATATAGGTCTGCGCGGGGTTCGCTTCAGGGGGGGGGGGGGGGGGGTTGTAGATGGTTTATTGCAGGGACCCCTTCCCTATTAAGCCAATATATGGGGCGGACTTTGCACATCCCCATCCACCTTCTTGGCTTACTAGCAAAAGCGGCGGACTCCTCCTCCCAGCTGCCCCCTCCCGTGCTCACGCCTCTGCCAAATGATATGGGGGTACGGGACTGCGCATAACCGCTACGAAAACAACTGAAACGCTGCTGCAATTTCTCAAGGCTACCACACTGATTGACCATCTGTGACATGTATTTGATGATTGATGATTGATATGTAGAGTTTAACGTACCAAAACGACCATATGCTTATGAGAACGCCGTAGTGGAGGGTTCCGGAAATTTCGACCACCTGGGTTGTTTACCGTGCACCCAAATCTGAGCACACGGGCCTACAACATTTCCGCTCCATGGAAATGCAGCCGCCGCAGCCGGGATTTGATCCCCCGACCTGCTGGTCAGCAGCCGAGTACCCTCGCCACTAGACCACCGTGGCCGGGCACCGTCTGTGACATCGAGCACGGAACTGTGACGATGTCAGCGGCTGCGAAAGGTGTTTTTTTTACCTCCTCTCAAATTTTCCCCTTCACCAGTGGAAGGAAGCCAACGGCGCTCAGTTAATGTTGATGCCCTTTTTTTAAAATCATTCAGTTGATTTTTTTCAGAAGTGCGCGCTAATAATAATAATAAAAATAATAATAATATAATAATAATAATAATAATATTAATAATAATACTTGAGGTTTATCACCCCGAAACCGCGATATGATTATGACGTTCGCTGTAGAGGAAGGCTCCCGAAATATCGACCACGTCGGGTTCTTTAAGGTGCACTGACATCGCACAGAGTTCAGGCTCTGCCATTTCCCACCCGCCGAAATGCGACCGCCGTGGTCGACATCGAACCCGCAGCCTTCAGGTCAGCAGCTGAGCACCGTTCCGGAGCCCTCCACTACGGCATCTCTCATAATCATATGGTGGTTTTGGGACGTTAAACCCCACATATCAATCAATCAAGCTGAGCACCGTGACCACTGATTCACAGCGGCGGACAGTGTGCGTGCTAGTAAAGCACTCTATCTTTTTATTCACATCTTTTTCCCCCTCCCTCACGCAGAGTAGCAAACTAGAAATACGTATACCTCACTGCCTTTCTTCACTTCTCTCACTCGAAGTAAATCAATTATGATAGCGTCTCACGTAACCCCCACGGTTGTCCATTGCTTATGGCACCCACTGCTGAACCGAAGATTTGAAGATTTTAGGATTGATTTCCTGTCACAGCAGCTGCATTTCAATGGAGACGAAATGTCAGAGGCTCCTTAGTTTATATATATATATATATATATATATATTATATATATATATATATTATATATATATATATATAATATATATATAGATATATATAATATATATATATATCGTCATTTTGGGCACTAGAACCGCAACCATTTGAGTTATGATCAGCGTCACCCGTATAAATAAACTACAATTAGGTTTGCACGCCTCAATTTAAGCGTGTGCAGATGCGATTGTACAACTGTGAATGACTTTGCGGCAAAGGCCGTTTTATGGCCTCTGGATGCATGCGCGAAGAATGTGCGCACGCTTTTTTTTTCGTGAACGCTTTGCACTTATCAGTATCTTGCGCTTCGGCTTCGCTCAGACGTCATCTGTGTTCCAGCGCTCCTACAATCGCTTATCTTCCCACGTGAG